TGTCTGAAAAGTGCTGGGAAAATCATCAAAGACCCTAGTCACCCATCACATGGACTCTTCACCCTCCTGCCCTCTGGGAGGCGCTACAGGAGCCTCCGGACTAAGACCACCAGGTACCGGAACAGCTTCTTCCCCACAGCTGTCAGACTCCTGAACTCTGCCGACATCTGACCCACGTTAAAATAATGGACTGAACATACACACACCCACAACCACTAGCACTTTATATAGCCTCTGTAGAAAGTAGCCACATATTTCACTTATCTTAACTGCACTTCTGTATAAACAATCATCCTGTACAATACAATAATTATAATTCTACAACTGTTTACAACTGTTTATAACTTCCATATTCCTGTATAGTTTCATATTTATATCCTGTTCTGTTCATAGCCTGTACATAGCTTGTATACCCACTACAGCCTGTACATACTTATAGCATATTCATAACATACCTTCATACCATGTACATTATAACATACCCATAGTAAACCCATTTTTGCACCCTCATACGTATAACAGACCCATTTCTGTAATATATCTATATCATGGCTAAAGCCCTTCTGGATGGATGCAAACTGCATTTCGTTGCCTTGTACTTGTGACATGTGCAATGACAATAAAGTTGAATTATATTCTATTCTAAACGGCAGGATAACTGTCCTAAGTTTGGGTGTAAATAAGTCCCGATATTATGTTTGGAAAACAGGAAAATACTTTCTAACAAATACATGCACATCTTTTTTGAGTACACACTGCTGAACAAATGTTAGCTCCTCTGAGTCATTTGCTTAGCTTTTTTAGATAAATACAGATAGTCTTATCTGCAAGATAAGCACTGGGCTTTGACAAACTCAGTAGTCACTTTTACATCACCAACCAAAAACAAGCAAACACACCACTTCCTGTATTATCTTGCTCGCATCATCCAATCACACTGATGTTTAATGATCCCAACTTTACTTGACCTACCACAACTATTCTGCTGTGTTATTTTCCTGGTAGTCATATTTTGAATCAGTCAAATGAGCAGGATGTGCAAGGCAATATGTGCACACAGTGGCGCATTAATGGTTGAAAGAATTTCCATTGCAAATACACCTTCTCATGAATTCCTATTAAATAGCTAAGCTGGATAGATCAGATGAGTATGAAAGATATACTTCTTCGACATCTGCACAGGATATTGTATTTGTTTTAAGTGTTGTATGCTTATGTAGTACATGTATTTTGATTTTGTTGCCATGATGCCAAGCCTCTCTTGGAAATTAGATTTTTAAACTCAATGAGATTTTTTACCTGGATAAATAAAGGACTAATAATAATATAAAAAAAAATAAAAATAAAACTAGAAAATGCTGCATTTCCTGCGAAAATGCAGTGTGAATGCCGTGTAGTGGAATCTGAAAACAGCAGAAGGAGAGCTATCTGTTGAAAACACTGTGTAGAAGCTGAACTCTGCTGAAAACTGCTTTATTTGAAAGACTACACTGAAGAGTGTCAAGAAAGCAGATTACATCTAAGCAGGGAAGATGTGCAGCATCTGTCACATGTAGTACTCAAACCCTTGCTACCAGATCTCACGCCACTGCGCCAAACCAATTAGAATCTCAAACAAAGATATGATGAGAGAAAAAAAATGTGCACTGTGCAGTAGAAGCTAAATTGTGCTGAAAAGAGGTGAAAAGGCTGAAGATTGTGCTGATAAGAGCAGAAGAGGATGAAAATTGTGCTAAGAAGAGGTGAAAAAGCTTAAAATTGTACTGAAAAGAGGTGACTCAGCAGACTTTCTGCTGAAAAGAGGAAAAGAAGCTGAAGTTTGTGCTAAAAACAGCTCAAGAAGCTGGAATTTGTGCTGAAAAGTAGTGAAAAACTGAAAATTTTGCTAAAAAGAGGTGAAAAAGCTGAAATTTTTGTGGAAAAGAGTTTAAACAGTTGAAGTGTTAACTGAAAAAAAATGATGCCATAAGCGGGATTCAAACTCGGGCCTCCTGGTCTGAGAACGGCTGCTCATATCACTGAACTAAAACATGGCTCAGCCTGGCAAGCAAAACTATAGTGATCACTCTGATAATGTGGTCCCTGTCAGCAAAATGGGCCAAAAAAAAAGGCATAAAAAGCTGAATATCTCAAAAAGTATAAAAGTTAACATCACCAAAAGATATAGCAGTTGAAAGCAGAAATAGCAGTTTGAAAGTTTGAACGGTGAAAATCGACTGAAAACTGAGGGAGTAGTTAAGCGGCAAAGAAACGGAGCAAATAGAATAATAAAAGATAAAGAATAAAGAGAAACAGGATCTCAATTGTGTGAATGCTGTGAGGCATTCACACAATTACTGGTACGGAAGCAGGTCTTCAAACAGGCAGTGTGTGCTATCGATGACCTGTTGAAATTTGACTTTTATTTTATTTGACTTTTTGGATGCTCCTCAGCTCAGAATTGATGGGTTGTGTGAATAATTAGTCTGTAATAAAAAATAAATAAATGCATCCAAGATACTCCCTTAAAACAGCTGACAGTTAGTACTATACAGCATATTACATTATGTGCTAAAGATTCAAGAAATAACATCAAAAGCAAAATGTTATAGATAAAGAGGTTAATGTAAGATTTTAAAAGTGTTAATATTAGTATATATTTTATAATGCTAATGGAAAAAAATGAAACATAAATGCTTGTGGATGTCGGAAATCATCAGTGGTTAAAAAGGAAAACCTGAGAGATCCAGTCCTACATATCATATCAGTCATACCATTAATTTTATATGTAAACCATAGATTGTCTTTATTTTAAATTAATATCAATAAAGTCAGAAACACTTCTTCTATTTAATATTGCACAGATGACCTGAATCTCATTAACATTCAGGGAGCTGAATGGATCCTCTGTTCCCAGTGACTTAGTCATACATACAACTGCAATCCATTAGACTTTGTTTCCAATGCCAGTCCTCCTTTTTTCCCTCCGTTGTTATGAAACTCACTATGTTGGGCTGACTCAAAACAGCATTTCTCACAGCCGGGCTGATTTCACAATAATCGATTACAAGCCAGGTTATTTAGTAATACTGAATTTGTCCCCTGAAAATAATACGTCACACTTTTATTTTTATTGTTGGCTCACCCTTAGTTTCTTCAGTGGTTGCTTTATGCCAACTACAAATGCATTTGCAGGAATTACTGGTTCAATTTACTGAACAAGTTCATCAAATATGGAGTGAAATGGACCTTATGTGTGTTTCACATACAAAATTTTAATCTTCAGTCGCTCAATTGCTTTTGAATTATCTGGAAAGGACAGGAGACTTTATTTTTAAACATAAGTGGACACTTAATTGAGCATCATATCAGCTGATGGTAGCAAATGTGTATAGCAAAGTGCATCAATAGATTCTAAGAGTGCAACACAGGTGCAAATGTTTGCGGTTTAGTGCTAAGTAGCATAAAAATATAATTCAAAGTTTTTCTTACAAAAGCTCGAGCACTGACCCTTGGGTGTGTAGTTAGTGCGATTAACCGCGAAGAATCCCATTTTATTTGCCCTGGAATTGCATTCAAAATGCTCTGAAGAGCACCACAACCACAATCAAGGGCTAGTTTCATGACCAAAATTAGCTACAGGTGCCTGCTTCCGCATCCACTTGTCAGTCAAACTGGCCATGCACCTAACATTCAGTGCTTAAACTATGCGCCAACCACGAGAGCTGAAAGATAAGGCCAAAGCCTGCTATTCCTACAGTGTCCACTTGAGGCGCTCTACAAAAGACAGCTAAAGTTGGAATATGTATCCAAGTGGTCGACTTTATGATCCACCACATCCATCTTTTAAATCATCAGTTATTGCTGCGAAAAGGGCAACTTTTTTTTAAGGAGTTTTTTAAAACCAGACTGATATTAGCGGAGAATTATACGGTACCGGAATGATAAAGACACAGGCAGCACACATCACTTCATAGTATTACCTGTTCAGGCTCGCTTGAAAATACAAGCAGTAGAAAACAGATTTCAGTACTCATGCTGTTAACTAGCTGGTTAGCGTTCAAAACGAGTGATAAGTCCCTAAATGAAGCCCCCCCGGTCAAATATAAGACCTGCACAGTGGAGTTATAATAAACTGCACAAAGCACCACTGTGTAAGACAGAAGCTGCAGCAGGGACAACTCCGTGTAGGAACACAAGCTTAGCGCAGTGAATTGTAGTCGTGGATTAGGCTTTAGTGACAAAAACGATCGTATTAAAAGGACAGCAGACATATTGGCCTAATCCTAACCCACTGACTACAGAACTCCAATCTCATTCACTGCAAGGTAGCGAAGGTGTTTTGACAAATCGTGGCGAGAAGGCGGAAGGAAATATGAACCTCTGAGCAGCACGGAGCTGTCACACACCCTCCCTCTAAACACCGCAGACACACACACACACACACACACACACTCATACACACATACACACCGTCGGGTACAATAGAAGAGACGAGTTCGCCAAGGAGTAAAAGCCTGCACTCATTTCTACTATATTTTACCAGGGTTCCTGAATGTGACGCGACAACACTGAAATATAACGCCGACCCGGTAAGTCTTAGTCTTTCCTATTTTTTAGCAACAGTTTTTTGAAGAGCGAATAGAGGTAATAGAAATATTATAATTTTCAGAGGCAGTGAAGTGTAATACGATACAATACAGTAAGTGAAGGGGAAGTTGAGCAGCACATGAATCATCTGTCGCAACAAAAAAAAGAAAAAAACTATGAATTTCTTTGCCGCGAAGTGAAGTTCCTTCTCGGCGAATAAACCGCCATTTCAAACAAGGCTGTAAATATTAATTAAGCAAATAAAACATCAGAAGTCTATTCCTTATCACGATGTATTGTCTTTCTCTTGGTTTAAATGACCAATTTTTCTGCGTATATGAATGTTTTCTAGGCCACAGAAATGCATTGACTGTCTCGTTGAGGATATGCCTCTCACCCCTGTCACTAAATGATCTGAAGATGCATATAGTGATTGTCACTGTTAGAGCCCTGAAGCCTTTTTTAGGTTCCCAACGTGCGTCCTCAGACCACCATAGATTTAATGGGGACTTAAAGTAAAGTGAGCCATTTAATTTCACCAGATGACTGACTGTTGTCTTTGGTGGTTAGCCCAATGAAAGAATGACTTTTGTGATTACACGTTTCTCTAAGCTGTCCCTCCACCTACAGTAAACAGCTCCAAACTGGAATCAAGCCTGCCAAGTCATATATAGCAGAAAGAACTGCGTCTGTAGTTGTCTGTTTGGGGTTTGAGATCCAGCTTGAATCTATTTCTATGGACCACAGAGGCAAAAAAAAAAAAAAGGTTTGAAAATACTACCAAGCCTGTATCCTGCTGTACTGTGGCATCCTCTATGAGGTTGAGCCTTCTTAGCAAACAAAGCACACATACACACACAGACACTGACAACACAAAGGTGTGCCGTGCCCAAATATGCTGTCCGGGAATAACATGACATAACAAATAATTTAGTTTCCTTTTCGATATTGTGTGAACTCTATCTCTGTGATTGCCATCACTGTGGTGGCTTCTTTTATGTTGTTTTTAATGAGCATAGAAACTACTACTTTTTACAGATTGCTGTAATAACCTTTGCTCAAATAAATTAGAAATGAAAACATTTTACTACTTAATTAACAACAAAAACAAACGCAGTGCCGCTGGGTTTGTATGGAGATTCCAGCCCACAAGAACATAAACAACAGCTGAGTGTATTTTGGAAATATAAGGTAAATGTATAACTCATGATTTTCCAGGCTGGTCCCAACTTACCAAAATAGAGAGGACCTTTTGCTGATGAGCTCCCCCTTGTATGCGGGAGAGGTCCATTACTGTGGTGATGACAGACAACTGCAAGCATATGATTGTAAGGATGCCACTGTGACACTCTGCCGTCTGCCATTTTTTACAGGCAGGAGTATATGTGCCAAAAACGCTATTCAGTGGCATTTGTTAGTCTCTAAACTACCGATTGTTGTCATGACAGTATAACTGCACGAAAAAAATACTTTAAAACAAAATTTCCCCCTCGTGTGACGTGTGTTTAGTGCTTTGCAGAAAGCTAGCTGAAGCTGCTTGTGGTAAAGCTCAGTGCCAAGTCGAACAGCGTCCTGATCTATCGTTGTTGATCATTACTAGAGAATAATGCTGCAGGAAATCTCATTTGTCTTTCGAGCAGCAACAGTAGCTCCTTAATGACAAACAAATGTCAGACAACTGTTAGAGAAACAGTCTTTCTCTTTTTTTAAAGATATTAACCTCCTAAGAAAGCGCAACTATTAATCCCAAACTTAAATTGTGCTGCCAGTGACTTTGTTATCCATCAACTGCTCTGTGAAGCGCCTTGAGGGAATACTAAGAGGGACTGCCACACGTCAATAACCAAACACTGTACCAGTGACAGTTGCTGTGGCTTTTTCAGAAATAGAGAGAAGAGTGTCTTGGGGGCATATATAGATAGCAAATGTGATTCCAGCTGCCACTGTGGCATGGTAGTCTTAATGATAGGGCAGATGATTGAGCGTTTCTTCTCATATGCTTTGAGCTATGTATCATGTTGCTGTACCATTGTTTATCAGAGCTACTTTTGCTGTTATATGAAATAAACAGCTGATGAGGATTACACAGCTGTCATTCACTGCTCCAAGGGGAGCCTTAATAACATGTGTGTTTGTGTGTGTGTGTGTATCCACATGAATACCAGACAGTGTTAAACAGACATTTTAATGTTGTTCATTTTTCGAGCACGTCTATTTAGCACATCGTTCTACACGCGCTTCACCATCATTGCTTCTCTAGCAGTTGGACTGCAGACCTGCTTTTCTAGTTTTGCATGCTGTTCCTGTTGTGTTTGTTACAGAAACCTTGCTATGAAAACCCCCCTCAAAACTCTGGATTGAAACCAGTAAGACTCAGGTTAGACCTTAACCTTGAATTTGCTTATGAGCAAACAAATAATGAAAATAATCTAAGTTGTTGACACAAATGTAGTGGCTATGTCAAATACATAATGATAGATTCATTATTAAGATATGGATGAGGAAGCAGACAAAAACATACTAGTAATAACATTTGTGTGGATTTGCATGCATGTGTGTCAGTAAGAGTGATGGTGTTCAGAAATCTAGTAGTTAGTGATTAAAGGCCTACTGCCTCCTGCCTTTCCAAGAGGGTGCAATCTCAGTGATTAGACTGTCGACCACACATTGTGAAGCACAGACAGCTGCAGCTGGTTATCAATTGAACTTTCAGGGTGACGCTATCAAAACAGATCTCGTTGTCTTATTCTACCAGCTACAGGGAAAAACAATGTTATGGTCACACATCTAATTTTATGCATACGTGATGCTGAAATGAGGTTGTGGTGTGTTAATAATGCAGTCTTAATGCAATGAGTAACCACAGCTTTGTAGAGATCTTTTGTGCATAGTTTCTGCTGAAACTCATTCAAAAGCTAATATGAAAAAGTAATTGATTTTACTGTTTAGCCACCAGATGCTGCAAAGAACCACATCTGTCTGCCTTTGCTGAAATGTGTACATTAGGCTAAACTCAGCGTTAACTCTTTATTTAGGTTGGACGTTCAGGAAATTATTCTCTGAAAGCCAAAAAACAAGCTGCCAGAAATGAGGGAAGTGGGAAGTTCATAGAGCATGTGAAAGAGTTGGGTGGGGGTGGGAGGGATTGGATCTATTTCGATACTCTCCAAAATAGTAGCGGGGATGCACGCTGGGACTACCATGTGATAGCGTTCGCTGCTTTTGTAATCCATGCCATGTGTAGCTTGCAATTTCCTCCTTCCTAAATCTCTGAAGATGATTCTCATAATGAAAGATCAATTATTTGATCCCTAGCTTTTACTGTACTCTGAGGATCATATGGCACAGATATTGCCCTGTGGGCCTTGGAAGGGAATAAACTAGACTCTTACTAAACTCCTCCTCTCACTATGAAAGTGCAATTCGGGAAGTTTGCAAGCATAGCCCTGATTTCAGAAGAGTCATCCTTTGAAGTTTAATGTACATTGAGGTCGGTGTGTGCAGACCATGTAGTGAGAACATCCAGTGAGAACATCTCTGTGGTGTCGGATTCACAGCAGAGCATTAACCACAAGCAAATTTCTATGTAGCTGCAGAGGAAATCAACTGGTTTTAGCTGGGCATGGTGTAGGTTAAATATTTAACAAAGGACCGGGCAAGGGGCAAGTGTAACAGTAATGAAAGCTCTTAATAGGTTATGAAAAGGGGAAAAGCAAAAAAAACCACTAAACGAGGCTTGTGTTACCATGCATTTTATGTGAATAGATTTACACTTGATTACATACGATGCTGTGGTGTAAAAATGCAAGTAGCAGCTTTTGCATTTAACATGGTTAGCATGGCTTTTATGACTTCCTCAAAATAAGCCCTTGTACGCAGCATCTCTAGCACATCTTAATGTATAAATGTCTCTATATTTCTATATTTTATATGTATATGTATATTTATACCTATATTTATATTTATCTATTTATCTTAATATTTCTGAATATCTCTGTTTCTACACTCATTTTATATGAGTGCTTGATGTTTGTTGTATATTTGCTGCTATGACAACTCAATTTCCCTCTGGGATTAATAAAGTCTCTCTAATTCAGATTCTCATATGTCATACACTCAGTGAGTCTGGTCAACATATACAACATATCTGTCTCTCCATATATATATATATATATATATATA